TATTTTAATGTTACATGTTGTATACATATATATGTCTTAATGATATATTTCACAATGATATATATATTTTTTTTTTACAATGATATATTTCACAATGTGTGTGTGTGTGTGTGTGTGTGTGTGTGTGTGTGTGTGTGTGTGGTGGGGGATGTAGAAATCATAAAACAAAGATAAAACCTTTAGATTAGCCAGAGGAAGGTAAAGAAATTAAGAAGTAGTCATTTTTTAAGGTATTTCTATTAAATGGGGAAGAAATGAGATTAAGTAACAGCAATAGGGAAAAGAGGTTATTTTTCAGCTGAAAGGATTCATTTGAATAAATGTCACCTTTTTTCCCCTCGCACCCCCCTGGGTCTGAATGATGGGTCATTTATACTCTACTATTCTGAACATCTCTAATACAAGTGTGGGTCCCACCTGCTGCGGGCTCCTGGGCTCCTGGGGCTGCAGACGGACATGGGAGGGAGGGGGTTCTGTGGCATCAGGGAACTCAGCTGCCCCCTCTGCATCCTCTTCCTCACCCCCGCCTCCGGGCATCGGGCCTTCTGATGAGGTACCTGGGCAGGGGAGCAAGACAGCCCCAAGGAGCCTGAACACCAGACAGGGGGTAGGGGCTGCCCCTCTCAGCTTCATTCGTTAGACCTAGAGAACGCCGCAGGGCATTTTAGTACTCTCCTCTACTACTGTCTTGTTTGGTTCCATTTATTTCTTAGCTGCCATCTGTGTCTGCCCTGAGAGGGCAGGCAGGTCCAAATCTCAGAGGCCTGGGAGTGGGCAGACAGCGCAGCCGGCTGAGGTGGTGGGGTGGGGTGGGGGGTGAGGGGGCGAGGCCCGGGTGCCTAAGGGCCAGCTCCAAGGCGGTAGAGGACCGGGAGGGCGGGGCTGACTGAGTGCAGAGTCCTGCCCCCCCCCCACCTGCAGGTCCACCGGGGCGCTCTCTTCTCACCTGACTCCTGGGAGATGCTAGGAACAGGGCCTGGATTCCTGCACACCAAGACTTCCATTGTGTGTTCAGTGTGTCTAGATCTAGCTTTTTAAGAAAAAACAGAAATCTGGACTTTAATATGTAACCTTCCACATTTTAATATTAGCATCCTCTTTTTTTTTTTTTTTGCTGAGCCATCCTGCCGCCTGTTGGCAGTTCAGCTGGGGCCGGGAATCGAACTGGCGACACTGTTGCTCAGAGCTCACACTCTTGAGCAAGACTCTTAACCAAGTGAGCCACTTGGCCGGCCCCATCATCCCATTTTTAAAAATTTAGAAATTGTGACGGCCAACAAAGCACACATCAGCAGTTTGGTTGGGACCTGTGGGCCACCAACTTCCAAAATGATGATATTGTAACATATCATGGGTTCATAGTGATACATTAAGAAGTGACGATGTCAGTACACCATATCCCACATATGTGGATCGTGAGTTCAGAAGAGAGATCTATGCTGGTGATTTGCACTTGGTGTCATTCTTATGCTATTGTCCAATAAAGTCATGAGTATGAATGAGATTGCAAAGGGAAAGGGTATGGAACTGTGGAAAAGCATGGTACATTGAAGTTTCTGGTTGGAAAATGGGCAGATAGGAATTTTAAGAAATGAGCCAAGATCGGTGATCTTTAAAGAACTTTAAAGCTATGTTAAAACATTTAGACTTTATTCAAGAAGAACAGAGAACCATGCAAAGGTGTCAGGCAATAGCAATGTGAATCAGATATTAATTTTAAGAAATAACTCTGACTCAATGTGGAAGAAGTATGGCTAGGCAAGGAAACACCCAAGGCAAAAATACCATTTAGGAAGCTACTGTTTTACTCCTGGAAACAGGTATTGATGGCCTCAACTGGGCGATAATGATGGAGAGAGGACAGATTTGAGAACTATTTTGGATGTATTTAGGGTCCAAAGATGGGTTCTGTATCATCTTTATTCCCAATCACTGCTTACATTTTTGCAAATTTTCCTGATCCAAATTTTCTGATTTGAATCCATGCATTAGGGATATGCCACACCTTCTTCTTCTCAGCATCTTACGGTAACTTCCTAACTTCCTTCTTCATTCACTGAAGGCTTTAACACATGACTAAGAGTTTTCCTCTACTTCCATTCCTGCCAGTTCCAAGGTGATGTCAATGTCCCTAAGGCAATTCATTGAAAAACCTGGCCTCTCAGTTCCTTGACTTTCTCACCTCGGATGACATTCTCCCCCACTCAACTTCAGCCAACCAACTTCCTCCTCATTATTAAAATTTGCATCATCTCTGCAATTGTCACTTCAAACATCCCATTTTCTGACTAGGACTGTCTGTTCTTCTAGCTGAGAATCTCAAGCACCCCCAGTTTACCTATTCTTCAACTGCTTTGGAACTGCCACGCTGTTATCCCTCCCCTTTTTTCATTAGTCCATTCTTATGTTTGCTAGCCTGTTTTATTTCCCACTGTAGAGTCCATGTGTTATTATTTCAGTCACTCTGTAACTAATATCTTAAATGTTTTTGCCTCTCGGCTTTCCCATCACATCTGCCTGGAAAAACTCCAGCCCTGGATGAATCTAATCACCATCCTTCCGACCGTCTCTGTACCAAGGCAACTGAGCACTAGTGGAGAAAATCACAAAATAACAGGAATTAGTATCTCTCTATTCATGGTCACCAACTTCAACTGGGTGACCTCAAAACTTTAAGACAATCTTCTACATTTTACTACTCTACTCAATAACAGTTTCATACTGTCCCACTGTACTCAACTCTGACCCACCTCCCCATTCCCCAGTACCTTCTCAGATGATTCTTTGGGGGAAATTATCTGGCCTCATACTTCACATAACAGAAACTTCCTCGGGCCGGCCGTGTGGCACGTTGGTTAAGAGTTGGCTTGGGAGTGCCGGCTCTGAGCAGCGATCCCACATGAGGTCCAGTGACGATGCGCCCTCTACAGCTAAGAGGGTGAACAACAGCTTGACCTGGAGCTGGGCTGCCCTGAGCTCCTGGCAGCGTTGTAGGCTGCAGCGGGGCTGCAGTGGGCTGCCATAGCTACCATGAGTGGCCGGCGTGAGCAGGCCGCAGCTTACATGAGCTGCCCTAAGCCGCTGTGAGTGGCCATCCAGTGGCTGTCCACCAACTGCCTCACGCAGGAAGAGCGCAATGATAATACCAACATGGGCCAGTGAAGCGACGCCCTCCACAACTAGGCTGAAGAACCAAAGGACAGCAACTTGTCTGATCCCCTTCCCCAATTCCCCAATGCTGTTCCCCTCCCCCAATTTCCCAATAAAATCTTAAAAACAAAAACAAAAACATGCCCTCAGAATCCCACGACTGAATCTATAACTGACTGCTTTTTCTCCTATCTCTCCTTTTTCTATCTAAATCAATGGTGGACATGTCTTTTCTTTCTAGCATTTGTCTGTGCTTGGGTCCCACCCCCTCTCACCTCTATGTGGACCTCAGTCCATTGGATTATCCCTCTGTCTTTTTCTTTTCTTTTCTTTTCTTTTAAGATTTTTTGGGGCAATTGGGGAAGGGGAACAGTGTTGGGCAATTGGGGAAGGGGAACAGCCAAGTTGTTGTCCTTCAGTCTTAGTTGTGGAGGGCGCAGCTAGCTCAGCTCCAAGTCCAGTCGCCGTCCGGCCACCTGTTGGTGGCTCATGGCCTCTAAGCTCAAGGTGCTATGTTCAATCTTAGTTGTGGGTGGGCGTAGCCACCATCCCATGTGGGAGTCAAACTGGAAACCTTGTTGCTAAGAACACATGCTCTAACCATTGGGCCATCCTGCCGCCGGTTGGCAGGTTAGGGCAGCTTATCGCAGATGCAGCTCACTGGCCCATTTGGGAATCGAACTGGCCCTGTTGCTCAGAGCTTGTGCTCTTAACCAACTGAGCCACTTGGCAGGCCCCCTGTCCTGTATTTTTTATTTAATATTTTGTAACATCTTTCAAACATGTTCTGAACTCTCTCTTGCTAAAATTGTGAAGGAAACAATCTTAATCACCATGATAAACTTCATCCCTGAAGATTTTGTTCCAGTGTCCCTTCCACTTGGAGGTCCCCCTGACACACCTGCTTGTGCTGCGTGCGTTTCCTCTGTGCTTGCAGGGCACCTGCCTCTGACTACATCATAGCATCTCTCATATTGTGTGTTGAGTTTAGTCTGCAACTGAATTGGGAACCGATTAAAGGAATACACTGTATCTTATTAATCTTTGTAACCTAGTGGAGTTCATTGTGGGCATAGCAGTTGAATGAGTGAGGCTCATATCTTGGGCTCATATATGTAATGTTCTTAGGAGTTTGGCCTAAGCTGCACAGCTAACTAGAATGATGGATGACAGACTAGGGAAGGATTCAGATTTCTTTCTTCCCCACCATAGTGGCAACGTTAAAGGTGAGCTCTAAAGGTGAGTCAGAATAAAATAATTTGGGAAACTATCAGAGATAGACTAATAGAGAATCTCAAATATCTTTACACTGCTGAAATCTTCCATGCCCAATTTCTTTTCAATCCTATTCTACACCTTTCTTATAGGCTACTCCTCCCCTATTTTGTACTTTCTCGCACAATGTTTCTTGAAGGAAAAAAGGTGGAGGTGGTGATGGGGGGAGAATATTAATTTTCTGGCTCCTTCATATGACCTTTTCTACTTGCGTCCCTAGGTCTCAGTCCCAGCCACTTTTTATGCACCCAGTCGCTGAACTGTCCTTTCTGTATGACAACCTATATCGTGTCTGTGTGGTTATGTTCTGTGGCTTCCAGCAGAGGGGTGGTGGGTGAATACTCCTGGCGGGAGACTGCAGGATATACAGAGATATCAAGGTTTGTTCCTGAAAGCTGGTGACGTTCTGCTCAACACTTCTCACTTTCCCCCAAATCCAAGGCCATCCCCAGCCTCTAGGACAGTGCGAGTCCCGCCGGATCCTGGGGTGTGGCTTCGCCTGGTGGCCCTCTGCTTTGGATTGGCTCCGAGGGGCCGAGCCCCGGCCAATCAGGTACGGGGGCGTTGTCCAGGGGGCCAGGCTCCCGCCTCCCGGTGGCGGGTTCTGGGTTTCAGGCGTCTCAGAAGCGACCCTCCCTGCTTGCGGCGTCTGCTACCCCTTGTTCTCCCGGCCAGGAGACCAAGCGGGACATGGCCTCGGCCATTGTGGGAGTAGCAAGACGGACCCTCGGCCGAACCCCTTCGCTCCTACTCCAGCGTGGCTACCAGACGGAAAGGGGTGTCTATGGCTACCGGCCGAGGAAGCCCGAGAGCCAGGAACCCCGGGGCGCCCTGGCGCGCCCCCCAGGTCCGGGATGGGGCCAGGCCGTGAGCCTGGGGGCTGGGGAAGCAGGAGGCCTCCCTGCCGGGCCTGCGGTGGGGTGCTGTTGTGAGGGGGGTCGGGGTTCAGGGGACCTGCAGTGTGCGCACAGGAAGGTGGGGAGGAAGGGGAGGTGAGGGGGCAGAGAGAGGCCCGCGTGGGTGTTGTCAGCGTCGTGGTCACCCCCGTCCAGCCTCGGTACTTGAGGTCAGGGTCAGGGTCTCAACGTCGGTTCCACGCTTGGGTGAACTTCCACTTTTCGAGTTCGGTCTTGTTTTGTGAGCTCTTGTCTTTTCTATCCCTTGGTTGTTAAACTTGTGGGAACTTAGCTCTTTGCGGAGGCGGGGCTGCAGGAAAAGGAAAGTTCTAAGCTCTCCCAGATCCTGGCGTTTACCCAGAAATACATTTCCAGGGCTATCTCCAAGACTCTTGAGAGCGGGTATGTGGGGATTACCACTGTACTGACAGGATGAGGAGGGCAGTTAGTTGGTGGTCTTGAACCACAGCGTGGTTTTTATTATCCATTTTTGTCCTAGAGTTAGCCTTTTACTTTAATTTCAGCGTTTAAAACTGCTGAATTTAGAACCATGTTCCTGGAGTTTTAATGGGTTAGAAAACATGAATATCAGTTTTTGGAACCTCTCTTGCATGCTCATGTGCAAAGGGTTAATTTTAATTATTTGATGTATGCTGCAAAATTATTGTATCTTTATGCATCCTCACAGAGTAGAAGATGAATACAGATGAATTATTAGAGGAAAATGATTGGGCCATCTTTGTTTATTAGATTAACAATGAAGATGCCCTTCATGATTTAAGCACCTGACCTTTGGATCTTAACATCACACTTTGGAACCTCAATATTTTTCTCTTGACCTCAGGGAACATTTTGAGTAAACCTGATTTCTCTATCTTGAATGCAGTGGGGTTTCTTTAGGGAAGGCATTTTGGCCAACTATTGTTCACCCCTTGAGGGTAACACTGTATGTGTCTTATTTCACTTTGGAAATTGAGTGTCAAGAATTTTATATGTCAGTTGTTCTCAAGCTTGGGTGCGAACAACTGACATATAATCACTTTGAATGATATTTAAAATGCCAGTTCCCAGGCCTCCTTCTTTTCCTCTTCACCCCCAGGTTCTAATTCAGTGGTCTGAGATGAGGTAGGTTCAGGAATACGTATTTTTATCAAGCACCCCAGATAATTCTTTAACTGGAGGTCTATGGCCATGTGTGGCCAAATACTGTTACAGCCATAAGGAATGTATGTGCAAGATGTGATTGACATTCTATTCTTCATTTAAGATCATATTAGTGTGTGCTCCAGGGCACAGTTATTATGATCTTGTTTGAGGTTTCCCCTTACAATTGGGTCTCTATTTGATTCCTGTTAACATCTTGGCAGCTGAGAATTGGCCTTGCCTTGGAAAAATCTGGGCAGGTGGTTCTTAACTGGAAGACTGTATCTGAATAATCTTGGGAGCTTAGGGCTGGTGTAGTTTGAGAAACATCTCTAGAGTTGATTTTACATATAACCACCCCTCTTCCCTCATCACCAAATTGTACCCGCTTCGCTCACTAGTAATGAACTTGCTTGGTGAAATTTGAAAGCTTAGTATTAGGTTAGAGCTGCAGGCCAAGGGTATGATCTTGTGTGTGCTGGGAGGGAGTCAAAGTAATACTGGAGAATAATTGTTGCACAGTTACACGATCTGGCTTAGGACATTTTGTTGCTAAAGGTAATAATTTTATTTTCATTTTTCTTATTGTTTTAATACTTTGCATATAACTTAAAGGCAAGTAGGCCATTTTGTAACTTTCTTCAAAATTACCATTGCATGTAGATGTGTGACAGTTTTTCTTCTTTTTGTTTCAGAACTTATTGCAGTATTTTGTAATAACTCTTTTTGTAGATCTTTGATCTCCTACTTGGCTGTGTGGGAGAAGAGGGAAGGAGAGTTGTGCCTATCACTTCCGATAGTATCTCATTGGTCATCTCTCTCTGTATACCTGCAAGGGAGACTAGAAAGCATAGTCTTTATTCAGGGTGGCCATGTATCAGCTAAAAATTATCTTGAGAGAGAAGAGGAAAACAGATAATGGAATAACTAGTAATTACCACACTTGACCTTCTCGAGCAAATATTCTAAGCTTTTCTCCACATATGTAGAATGTATTCATCCTCCATTCAATTCCTGAATCCAGCTCAAAGTCCATTATCTCTGGAGAATGTACCGTCCTCTCCATCAGATCTGATGGTGGCTCCTCATGGTCTGTAATTTTATGAAATGCCATCCCCCCATTTACACATTCCGTATACAAAGAAAACTCCCAGCTGTAAAAGGAAAGAATGAGGAGGAAATCTATAGCAGCTACCATTTCAAAACAGTTATCAAATCCTATTGGGAAGGAGTGATAAAAGCCCCTTGATGTGGTTGTGTAGTAAGTTCACAAGTTTATTTGGCCTATCAACTCTGCCCTCTGCCCATTCCCCTGGCTTTGCCTTATGTGTTCTTCTTCATCCACTATCTTCTGTGACCATCTCAGACTCGAGCATTGGGAAGTACGCCCTCCTTAGGGACTACATCAGTTCTGTAGCTGATTTTATTTTGATAAGATCAGGCACTGAGAGTTACTTTAGAGGGTCAGCAAATACAGG